CTTTGGGGGTCTCACAACCCTTTCACAGCGGTCGCCTAAGACCATTGGAAAACACCTATTCCCGATGGTCTTAGGAACCGAGACACCGCTCCTCTGTCTGTCTCCAGGCGGGTCTGCCCACTTGCAAATGCGCTCGCCTACTAGTACCCAGCATGAAGATTGTTACCCATGCTACACCACGCTTCAAGGCAAAATTTCATTTATTTATCGTTAGAAAAAAACATTTCACTATATAGAATGACCTATTGTTTTGACGATTCATCACTATGCTTTAATTATGTTCAATTTGTAACAATGACAACATATCCTGCCTATCAGATATCTGCATGATAATTCATAACAGTAGCAAAATGACAGTGATGGAGTAGCAACGAAAATAATGTTATGGTTGGGGGTCACTGCCCTATGAGGAACTGTACGAAAGGGTTGAGGCATGAGGAAGGTGGAGAACCACTGGGGTAGAGCATCCCTTGTGAGTTCCCAAGACCGGAACACTCCCTTGGAGTGGCCAGTGGTTTCAAATGACCGACTTCACAGTTAGCAGACCAAGATGTCACCACTAGGCCACGAGCGGTCCTCACAGCCCAGAAACTTGAAACCCCCGCCATCCCCTTGGTCACAGCCCTACAGGACAACGGGGAGCTGCCCTTGTGGGTTACTGAGACTGGAACTCTTTAAAGCAGTGGTTCTCAACCTCCCCAATGCTGCGACCCTTTCATACAGGTCCTCCTGTGGTGGTGACCCCCAACCATAAAACTATCTTCGTGGCTACTTCACAAGTGTCATTTTATTACTGTTATGAATCAGGCGACCCCTGTGAAAGGGTCGTTCGACCCCAAAGGGGTCGCGACCCACAGGTTGAGAACCGCTGGTTTACAGTAATAGCAAACCCTCTCTGTCCCTCAGGGTGGCCAGTGAGCTCAAACAGCTGAGGGGGAGGTATTTCCTCACTGGTAATACTAAGGGAAACCGAGCCCCCAGACAGATTTCACTGAGCACACAAGGACTTTCACATGGGTCACTGACCCATATAGAATGCCCCCGGGCAAAGAGACAGGCTGGAGACCTGCTGATCATACCATCCCCAAGCCCCTCTGAACGAAGAATGTAACTGCAGCCCAGGGACAACTCGTCTTCGCCCTTGTTCCTTGAAAAGACTGTTTCTAAGCACCCCGAGTTTCCTGGGTCATTGAGACACCAGGAAGGGGAGGAAGGACACAGGGCTGATTTGCACTCCTGTTAAGCAGCAGCTAATATTCCACGCGAAGGATCTCCATTGGCTTAGTGGTTATGCGTCGGGCTGCTAACTCGAAAGGTCAGCCGTTTGAAACCACCAACCCCTCCATGGGAGAAAGCCTGGGCTTTCTACTCCTGTAGAGTTATGGTCTCAGACTCACAGGGCACTTCTGCCCTGTCCTGTAGGAGGTTAACTGTGAGTTGGCATCGGCTGGATGGCAGTGATTCGGTTTAATATTCCACCCTGGATCCATTCCCTTTCTCTAAAACTCTCCTCGTAACCAGCCGCAGATGAAAGCTTCGTTCTCTGATCAGGTTTTCCCTGTACGCACACAAATGACCTGGCCAAATGAGCCCCAACGTCTCACTTCTTTGTGCTTGGATTAGCCCTGGGGGCCTGGTACTGAACACACTCCACTGCTAACCAAACGCTTGGTTTGGGTTGGGTGCTTACTAGGTGTTCGCGGCACCAGGACGTATAGCTCCTTCAAAGCTGGCACAGTGTCCCAACGCTGCTGGTGGGAATGCCCAGGCGACAGCGGTGGGAGACAGGGACTAGTGTGGCAGCTGCTTAAAGAGTTAAATGTACATAAAGCTGAAACACCAGTGGCCACTGGGTAGATTCCAACCCATGGTGACCTCCTCCTTGTGTGTCAGAGTAGAACTGTGGCCCATAAGGCTTTCAGTGGCTCCGGTTTGGGGAGGCAGCGCTTTGGAAGGACCTCTGGGTAGACCAGATCTGCCAAACTTTCAGTTAGTGGCCAGATGTGTTAGCCCTTTATATTATCCAGGACTTTTGTCTGAGACAGCAAATTCCACTCACCCCTAGGAACCCACCCACAAGCACTGCACGCATATGTTCACACCAAGTCTTGTACACAAATGTTCAAACCTGGAAACAATAACAGACCATTAAAAATAAAAAACAAACTCACTGTTATCGAGTCGATTCTGACTCATAGCAACTCCATCTCTGTGTTAGTCTGGGTACTTTAGAGAAACAGATCCACAACAACTCATGTAAAAGAGAGAGTTTTATGTAAAGATTAAGTGTGCATTAAGAAAATATCCCAACCCAATGCTGCCCAAGCCTACAAGTCCAACATTAACCCATTAACCCATATGTCCAACACCAACCCACAAAGTCCCCCTCCATCTCACAAAACAGAGGCATGATGCCGACTGCAGGAGGAAAGTGAGTCAGTGGATGTGTAAGCATGTCAGCACTGGCAGGGGTCTCCACACGGCTGCTCCAGCACCCAGGGCTGCATCGGGGTAGGTCCATGTGGCTTCTCTTCGGGGATGTCTTGCAGGAAGTCAGCCTTGCCGGCTGAAGCAGGGAACTGCTAAGGCAGCTGCACCCTCGTCCAACCACCAGAAAGCAAGAGACCAGAGAACTCAAAAGGCGAGGCTCACCCACCCATTTATCCCTCCGCCTTTCAATTAATCCCACATGTGTTTATCGGCCAGGTTGGCACAATAAATTAACTAACTCAGTCTCTGGGACTGGAAGTCTCAGAAATATGGGAATTGAAAGTCTCAAGTGAGCCCTGCCTGGTGGCAGAGTGCCTGCTAAATGCAAGGTCAGCAGTTCAAAACCACCAGTCATTCCTTGGGAGAAAGAGAAAGCTTTCTATTCCTATAAAGATTTACAATCTCAGAAACCCACAGGCGCAGTTCTACTCTGTCCCATAGGGTCAGTATGAGTCGGAGCAGAGGAGCCGGCCCCGGCAATTAAAAGGGGCAACCTATGAAAGCATGGGAATAACATAGATGTATCTTCAAAGCATTGTGCTGAGAGAGAGAGGCTGACATCGAAGAGCCGTGCTACATATATGCTTGCATTTACATGAGCACTCTAGTCCACGTGAGGAAAACCACAGAGGCAGCAAACAGATTCAGGGCTGCCTAGGGTTAGAGGTAGGACTAGAACTTGACCACAAATGAGCTCAAGCAAATATTTAGGGGGGTGGGGGTCGGACGTATTCTAAAACCGGCGGTGACACTGCAAAGCTGTATTAATGCATGCGAGCCCACCCTGTGGCAGGCTGAAAGCACACAAACTTTCTGCTATGTGAATTATCCTGCCCCCCCCAAAAAGATAATATTTAAAAATAAAAAAGAACTGGAGCCGGGGCGGGCGGACCAAGGAGGGTTCTCAGGGTAATGTTAGCTTGGTACAGGGCACTGAACCGGGAAGTCAGAAAACCTCCTTTCGATTCCTGGCTCTCCGGTTGGCCCGCCCTGCAGGTGTGGCTGAGCAGTCAACCGCTCCGTGACTCTGCTTCCCCAATTGTAACAATCATAGCAGTGATGATAACTCGTGTGTGAACCCTGGCCTATGCTAAGCCTGCGCCCCATGCACTGACCCAACCGCCTCGTGGCACGAGCCCTCCCCATCCCTCCCACTTCACAGCTGAAGGAACTGAGGTCAGGGGTTCAATGATGCCTGACACAGTGCACCCACGGGGGTTGACTTCTGAGCCCCATGCTTCTCTGGCCAGCATCATGTGTTTGACACCTGCCCTTGAGCTCAGGGTCCAGCTCTACGTGTTCCCAGAGTGTCCTCAATGGGATAAAGTCACACCCTCCTTGACTGTGCAAGACCTGTGACCGTAGGGGTGGCCCACGGCCCCCTCTGCACCTGCTGCTGTGTCCCTGGAGCTCTGGCCTGCCGTGTCCAGGCCAACAGGGTGACAAGCTGCTCAGCCCCGGCTTCTCTGAAGAGCTTCCCAGGTTTTCTCTCTGTCAAGAGCATCGCTCTGTCCAGGCTCAGCAGCAGCATCACGAAATATCTTGGTTAGAAAGACCTTTAGAAACTTCTGGAAGCTTCAGCAGTTTCCGTGTCTTGGACATCTGTACTCCCCCCTCAACCAGCATGGCCCCATTTTGCTCGGTCTTATCTGTTGCCCTTTCTCAGAAGATTTCTGAAGAAATGGTCCTGCTACTTCTTTAAAAGTTTGCGAGCTGCTGTTCTGTGCCAATTCCTGAATTCCCAGGTAAAGAAACGGAGGCCTGGAGGGGGCAATTGCTTGCTGAGAGTCCCAGAAGTCATGATTGTCAGGCCCTGGGAAGAGCCAGGCTCTGTCCACACCTCCGTAACAACTGTCTCTGGTGTCAGCCTTGCCACCCTGTGATGCCATTCTGGAAGATTCCTTAGCTACAGGCGAGAGGTAGCTGGAGCCACAACCACTCCCAGGCTTCCCACCCATTTCCTTTCACTGCGGGCGTCTCTGAGGCCAGGGCTGGTCACCGTGGATGCTCCCCAGGCCAGCTGCCTACACCAGTCTGGGACCACAGGAGGTACCAAATCAAACGCAGGGAAAGTTTGATAATTGGTCAAGAGAGACAGCTAACAACATTCCTCGCGACAGAGACAAACAACACTTATTTGTAATCGTTCCTTCCCTAACGTGAAGGAAAGTTCCACCCAGACAACACAACATTATGTGACATTTGTCGAAGCTGTGTTTATCTCGGCGATTAGACAGGTCCGTGGTGTTTGGCTGTCCCGCGTCCTCCAGTGATGAGAGCTGCAGCGTGACAGCCTATCGGCGTCCCAGGAATAAGAGCACAACTTCTTCTCCTGCTCACCCTTGTCCAGGAGAGAGAGAGTATGGGGGTGTGGGGGTGGAGGCTTTATCAGCGTGGTGCTAAAATTGGCCCTTGGGTTGACTTGTAGGTAATTGATCCTCTGACGCTGACAAACGCTTAGGACAAAAGGTATAAATGACAGGAGAGTCATGCTGCCACCGAGCAAGCTCGGAGCTGGAGCCCAGGAACTAGAGGCGTGCCTCCAAGCCGAGAGAGACAAGCCTCCTTTGAGGTGAGGGGGTGACCCCAGGGATGGGGCTGGATGGGGGCAAGAGGCACCGAGTCAAAGGGGCCCGGCTCCACCCTCTTTGCCTGTGGACCGCTGAGCACACGGGGGTTGGGGGGCTCTCTCTGTACAGAATAGCCCATCAGGGGCTCTGGCACCTGCTGCCGATGGTTGGCGCCATACTGTGGGAGTCCCAGCTGCCGAAGCACCTTAGCCTCTTGGGGGCCTGGCAGGTGGACGTGTTCCATGCATCCATTAGAGGAGAGGGAGGGAGGTGTCGATGCACCTTCAAGGGTGTGCAGGCAGGCTCCGGGGCTACTTGTCCTGTCGATGACAGGGACTGTCAGGGATACAGAGGAGCCAAGTGGTTGTGCAAATCAATACCGCTTGTTGATCGCTCAGAACCAGTTTTCAGCATTAATTGGCTGGAAACAGCATTTTGCTTTCTTGCTCAATGGCAGCCACACCCCGTCGTCTCGGTATTAGACCCAGCTGTCCATGCTGGCGGCTCCACTCCTAGCTCTGTCCGCCTCCACCGTGAGCAGCCTCACACCCGCTCTAGACGGAGGAGGGCGCCACGCTGGGATGAGAGTCACGGTGCTTCCTCACTTGGCACTCTGACACTTCCTTCCACTGAGACCGCTTGCTGAAACAGTCCGAGAACTGGCCCAGGCAGGCTTTTCCTTGCTGCTGTGAAGGATTGCCCAGTGGATTTTGACTCGTAGCCACTGTAGAACGTCCGCACAGGGGTCTCTAGTCTGCCCTCGGGTCAGATCTTACTGCTCTGTGGAGCCACTAGGGGGGTTTGAGCCAGCAAGCTTTCTGTTAGGAACCAAGAGCTTATTGGTTGTGTGACTCCTTAATCCTTGTCCCTGCTTTCTAGCCACCGGGGCATCTCATGGTAATACTTACTCATTGCCACCGAGTCCCTGTGGACTCAGAGTGACCCTATAGAACAGGGCAGAACTGCCCCTGTGAGTTTCCAAGACTGTTAACTGTTTATGGGAGTAGAAAGCCTCGTCTTTCTCCTGCAGAGCGGCTGGGGGTTTGACCTGCCAACCTTGCAGATCACAGCCCAGTGCCTAACCACTACACCGCCTGTGGGTCCCTGCGTGGCGTTGCTTTAGGATTCTCAAATGGAAAAGTAGAGCATTTGGGAAAGGTTGAAGATTTTCCTCGCCCTGACCCCCCATACACACACCCAGGTGTTCAAAAGTGGCCTTGCTGATTTGGGCAATGGAGGTCTGCTCTCTGTCTGTGGTGGAAGGTCGACATCAGCAGGATTCTCCAAGCTTTCTTGGCAGGAAGGCTGGCAAAAGGTGCCAACGGCCATTGAGAAATTGCCATTCACGACCTCAGACATATCTCATTACAGAACTGGCTGGGAAGCAGTGCGTAGAGCAAGCTGGTATTCATAACGGGAAGATAATAAGCTCTAAAAGTGCCTTTGGAGTCAATGTGCTACATTTCAGCCCATGGATTCCGGGTACTGAGAACAGCCCCGTGGACCATGTCTGACAACAGCTACTGTAGCCTTGCTTGTCCAGACCCAACCCATCTCTGACCGCCAGCCAGCCCCTGGGGAAAGCCGGCTGTTTCCCATGACTGTCTGTGGAATCTTGTGACCCGTGCATTAGGTCCCCTTGTCCCGTGGTGTGTGACAGCCTTTTATGCTTCTGAGCCACCTGTGATGACTGTGTGATCGGCCTTGTCTTGGGTGAGCAGGTGTCTCAGTACTGACTTCAGCCTTCTTACTAGGTGGCTTTCAACCCCCGACCCCCGGAGTGCAGGTGCTCCTGTGACAGAGGGAAAGCTTTCTGTGTCCTGGGAGCGGTGTCCCCGTGCCTCCTGAATAGGGAGCGCTGGGAACAGAGCGTCGTGTCGGGGAGCCAGGGAACTGGGGTACCCATTCTGATGTGCGTCCTCCGAAATGAATTTGATGGGGAGGAGGCCTTCCCCTCTCTGGACTCCGCTCCTTGGCTGTAAAGTGGGTGTCAGGGGCCCTGCTCCCGAGAGCAGGAGTGAGGAGCGGGGGCTGGGGGATTTAGACTCAGAGGGGAAGCTCGGGCTTTGCTCTGGTGGGAGGAAGCTGGGGTGGGGGTGGGAGGGCTCACGACGCTAGGAAGCTGTTCTACTCTGCCCTAGAGCTGCGCTTCTCAACCTGTGAGTCGTGACCTCTTTGGAGGTTGAACGACCCTTTCACAGGGGTCGCCCGATTCATAACAGTAGCAAAATGACAATGATGAAGTAGCAACGAAAATAATGTTATGGTTGGGGGTCACCACCACATGAGGATCTGTATGAAAGGGTCGCGGCATTAGGAAGGTTGAGAACCACTGGTCTCAGAGTGTTGCCCTGAATCAGAAGGGCCTTCAAAGGCAGTAGGTATTGTGTGTGTGTGTGTGTGTGTGTGTGTGTGTGTGTGTGTGTGAAGATAGACACTAAAAGGGGAGCCCTTGGGGACAGAGACCATGGTCTAGGCTTTTCTCTAGCTCTAGTTGCTAGGTGGAACAGTAGAGACTGAGCCCTGGGAGACAGGAATAACCGCTCATCTGCTAACAAAAAGGTCAGTCAGCCACGTCAGCCTGTCAGTGGGTGAAAAGCCCCAGCCGCCTGCGTCCACGAGGCCCACAGGCCAGGAAGTCCTCTGGGAGCAGTCTAACTGGGTCCCGTGGGGGCCTCGATGACTTGGAATCGACCCCAGGGCACACAACAATCGCAAAGGCCGGGGCGGGGATGGGGTGGGGGTGCTTGAAAAGTTCATGGAGAAATGGAACTAAAAGAGAGTGGCATTTTCCCATGACCATTTGAAGCCCCTTCACCTCTGTGGGCTGAGAGGATTTGGGCTGGTCACCAGGTGAGAAAGCATTCCTAACAGTAAGAGCTGCCTGGGAAGAAGACAGGCTGGCTTGGGGGTAGTGAGTTCCCCGTCACTCACGGGCAGCAAGTGTCCAGTGGGAACTGGAGGACTGCCTGTGTGTGTGTGGTGGGGAGGGGCTGAGAACTGGAGGCCCGGCCGGCCACACTCTCCAGCTCTGGAAGGGCACTGGCCAGACTTCACCCAGCAGCTCCTGATGGGTGCCCCCAGTGCCCGGGAGAGGTGGGTGATGTCTGAGAGCAAGGTGGGCTCAGAAAAGGAAGGTGGTCCTGCCTGTGTAGGCTGGTTGGCCGGAGCTCTCTCCTCAGCAGGCCTGGATGGGAAAGGTACAGAGGGGAAGAGGGTCTTGTCCCTCTCAGAGCTTCTAGATGGATCTGCATTCCCTCCTCCCCTGCTGAGAGTCAGGGGGTGGGGTGGGGTTTGAGGGAGACCCGGTTCCAGCCTTTCCCCTACAGGGGCAGGTTCAAGTGGGCAGCAATGACCTCCCTAGACAGCTAGGGCGGGCCCTTTCCCTGCTGAATGCCTCCCCTAAAGGCAGAGCAGCTCTGTCAACAGACCCCAATTAAGGGTAATTAGGAGACCTGTGAGATTATTCTGCCATCCCGGCTCCCCAGGCTCTGAGGAAGTTAGACATCTGCAGCGAGATCTAAGATCGACTTCCCTTTCCTACAGCTCTCCCCAGAGGAAGGCAGGCCAGCCCAGCCCGGAGAGGGGGTCTGAAATTGCACACTCAGCCAAGGCCTGTTGACGCTTCTCTCCCATCAGGCCCTGTAGCTGCCTCATCCCCTCTGACCCTCACAAGGGCCTCATGCAGGAGGGCGAGGGCCTATTGCCACTGAAAGATGGGCAAATGGAGGCCCAGCAAAGAGAAGCTGATTGTCCTGGGACAGAGCCAGTGATAGTAGAGCCTAGATTTGTGATCAGTGTTGTCTGACTCACAGCTCCCAACAATCGGTGTCACCTGGGTGGGGGCACTTCCAGGCACTGAAAGGGGGTGCCTGCGCCTGCCTGTCCCTGCCTCAGCCTTGCAGCATGAGGCCGTTTAGCCATGACCCTTCATGACCCTATGAGGTGAACAGGGTGGCTGCCCATTTTGCAGATGGAAAAAAAAAAATGAAGTCAGGGTTTGTGACTGGCAGGGCCAGAACTTGGATCCCGGTCTTTGGGGTTTTTCAGAGTCTGGGATGGTTTGTTTATATCTGAACTCCCAGCTTCCCAAGCACAAGGACCAAGGCTTGTCGCAGGGCTGGGCCCGGTCCACCAACCTCCCTGTGCCTGTGGCTCTGCCTGACCCTCCTTTCCTGTCATTCCCCAGGTGCCACCCAGGGGAAAGGATGCAGCTCTGGGTGTTCTTCCTGCTGCTGCTCACCCTCAGCAGCGGCTCGCATGGCTCAACACCCTCCCTGCCCCTCAGGTAAGCAGCTGTGTTGATGGGACAACCGGTTCCTGGTGCCCCTCCCCACCCTCCTACCCCACCCCACCCCCCGCCAACCCTGCCACAGGGGTTAGGGATGCAGAACCAAGCCATCCTCTCCCTGGGCAGCACCCACTGTCCACATCTGGGAGGGGGGCAGATGCGGAAGGCCAGGGGGACCACCAAGGACTGAGGCTTTCCGGGGTGAACAGGACACAGGGGAGGAGAGGGCCTTGCTGAGACGCGGTGAGCACAGCTCCCACGGTCCCTCCCCTGGCTCCTCTGACCTCTGGCTCTTTCCAGGATGCCGCGGTACGCAGACGCCCTCTTCACCAACAGCTACCGGAGGGTGCTGGGCCAGCTGTCTGCCCGAAAGCTACTCCAGGACATCATGAGCAGGCAGCACAGGTGAGAAGGCATTCCAGTGACTTCTTCCATGCCGCTGTGTGTCCGGGAGACCAGGGACCAGGTTTGGTCCCTTGCCTTGTACAAAACCAAACTCATTGCACCAAGTCAGTCTCGACACACAGGGAGACCCTGTAGGACAGACAGCTGCCCCAGAAGGGGCGCCAAGGGTTATTGAAGCAGACCTCACAGCTTCCTCCGGTGGAGCGGCTGGTGGATTTGAACTGCCGGGAGCAGGTCCAGTTTGAACCTTGCAGTCAGCAGCTGAGCACACAAGCACCGTCCCTCCAGGATGCCTTTCTTCCTTGTCTGGCCTTTCCACAGCCAAAGGGCCCCCAGGTGGGACCCCAGCTTCCCTTTAACCCAGTGCTCGCTGAATACTTAGGTGTGCTTCTCCCCAGGCTAGGCCCCAGCACTCACAATGGGGGTGGTAGGTGCCATTCGGTCACAAGTCCCCGTCATAAACACAGGCTCTACATGGGAAAAAGTACGGCCACTTGTCACCCAGTGAGCCCTTGAGAAGTGTCTGCCATCCTTCTTCAATTCTTTTCGCTCTTTGTCACCACCAACAAAGCAGGTGCTGTTAGCTCTGCTCCCCCAAGAGGCCACCCCATCCAAGAGAGGCAGGGCTAGGGGCCCCAACAGTCTAATTCCACAACCCAGGCAGGTTTTTAGGTTTTCATTTGTCGGGGGAGGAGTCAAACTTAGAGAAAAGGTGCCACACTAGTTTAGCAAGAACTTCCAAGCAGTGGTTCTTCACAAATCCCTAATACTTGACCGTCTTTTCTTACTCGACCTATAACCGAGGGGCCCTCGTGGCACAGCAGATTACAACTTGGGCTGCCAACCCCAAGATCAACAGTTCGAACCCACGAGCTGCTCCTTGGGAGAAAGATGAGGCTTCCTGCTCCCATCAAGAGGGACAGTCTCGGAAACCCACGGGGCAGTCCCACCCTGTCCTGTAGGGTCCAGAGGGGTCAACTCGGTGGCAGTGAGTCTGGTTGGGGAGTCTATGGAGAGGCATTTAGCAACTGTACGTCTCTCGGCCTGTCTCCTCCAGGCCTGTGTGTGTGCTGCCTTTGTTGCTGAACCGAATCCACTTGGGAGGAAGAGTCCATACGACGCTGAGGCGCATAGCTCCTCAGTTTGTGTCTGTTTGAAGAGATCTCACTTTTCCCTGGTCTCGCCGCAATTCTCCCACACTGCACCCTCAGCTGTCCCTTCCTCTAACCACGCAGAGAGAAAAGCCTGGAACCCGGAGCGAAGGTGCGGCTGAGCCGTCGGGCGGAGGGCACGTGGGCAGACCAGAAGCAGATGACACCGGAGAGCATCCTGCTGGCCCTGCTGCAGAAGCACAGGTGGGGGCCGTGCGTGCACGCGCCCTGGTCTGTGTGTCTGGAACCTCAAAGGCCTCCTTCCACGTGGTCTGCCAGGGGAAGGAACGAATCCCTGCCTTCAAAAGATGTGGGGTTCTACCAGGCCAACTGGCCAGTGGGTCCCGTCTGACGTACACCCAGAACCAGAGGAGGGGCATTTAGTGGCAGTACGGCACAATGACTGCCAAGGGTCCCTTTGGACTGTGCAATGTTGACCTAGTCGACGGGGTGTCACCCAGAGTTACCACCATCCTAAAGGCAGGAAAGGAAAGGGAGGGGGAATGAGTCCTGGAGATGACACCGTCCCCACTGCGTGTCCCCAGTGAGCAGCAAGTGGTCAGTCTGAACCTGCGTCAGAAAGGCTTTACTTCAGTGGTTCCCAACCTTCCTCATGCCGAGACCCTTTCGTAGTTCCTCATGTGGTGGGGACCCCCCCAACCTTAACATTATTTTCGTTGCTACTTCATCACTGTCATTTTGCTACCGTCACGAATCGGGCGACCTACAGGTTGAGAGCCGCTGCTTTACTGCATCAACAGTTCTGGGAGAAGGCCCAGGACCCTACACTTGAACAGGTGTCCCAGAGGAGGGGTGGGAAAGCTTCTGAGGCAGCTGATCAGAGAAGTTCGCCCTGGATGTCTGGCCAGGTTCACCACTGGATCAAGTCCAGGAGGATCAGGGCCTGCCTGTGGTGCCTGGCAGAGGGGAAGGTGGCCATGCTATCATGCCCATCACACTGACCCTCACATGCCCAAGGGCATCAGGGGAGACCAGGAGTGAGCCTGCCCTGTTTACAGAAGAGGAAAACAGGCAAAGAGTGGGCAGCGGCTGGTTTAAAGTCAGGCAGGCAGGACCAAGGCCTGTGTTTCCTCCCTGGGGCCTCTGTCCATGGGCTCCCAGCATGGCAAACGGCGTCCTAAGAAATACGGACGTGTTTGGAGAAGCCACTGTCTTTTAGAAATGGATTTGAACACATACTCCCCACTCAGAGCTGTCTGCCTGTTCCCGTGCCTTCCTCCCAACCTAACTGGATGCCAGGAGCCCAGCAATCTCCTGTAGAGATTCCAGTGACAGCCGGGCGACAACGGGAGGACTACGGGAAGGGTGGGGGTTGGAAACTGGACACTTGGGGCCCCAGCCAGGTTCTGTAACCAATGTGCTGCACCGTGCACCATCAGGCTCCGAGTTTCCCCTTCCCTCAGTGAACAGAGGGGGTTCGCTTCAGGGCCTTGCAGGTCCCTCGGGCTAGAACACTAAGAACAGTGCCACCTCTGTGGCCCACAGCCATCCTTAGCTAGCCATTCACCTGCTGTGCCGCCCCACCAGGTGCCAGTAGGCTGAAGTGGCAGGAGGGGACAGCCCTGCAAATGCAGGTTTTGTTCCTGCATTGTCACAGGCTCCCCGGAGAGCAGAGGGCTCACACAGGGAGGGAGGGAGGGAGGGAAGGAGGGAGCTGCAGGGTCCTGACATCTTTGTGGGCAGAAACCAGCTGGCCTCTGATCCTGTGTGCGTGCAGTCACGCTCCATAAGGTTTTCAATGGCTGGAGTTTCAGAGGTAGAACGCCAGGCCTTTCTTCCGGGGGAACTCCAGCCTTCAGCTTGTCAGTGGCAGCTGAGTGTGTTAACCATTTGCACCCCTGAGGGATGAGCGAGTGGTGTTTTTGTTTGTTTGTTTGTTTGATGGTATCATTTTGCGTCCTAAAGAGCCTTGTCAAGAAACCAAGGCTTGGCTTTATCTGCCCTCAGCCCTTCAGCAGGGAACTCTGGGGCCATCGTGGTTATGCACTGGGCTGCTAACCGACAGGTCAGCAGTTCGAAACCACCAGCTGCTCTGAGAAAGACAAGGCTTTCTGCTCTCATGAAGTGTTAGGGTCTCGTGACCCCACAGGGGCAGCTCTCCCCCGTCCTATGGGGTCGCTAGGAGTCGGCATCCACTTGATGGCAGTGAGTTTTGTTTTAGCCTTTTGGGGACCACTCGGTGCCAGGCTCTGTACTGGGGTTCCAGCAGGGGTCCCTGCTCTCCTGGGTACCAGTGGAAGAGATTACTCCATGATGTTGTGATGAACGGTGAAAGATGCCGAGTCTGGTGGGCTTGTGTGCCAGGAGGAAGCGGATCCTGTCTGGACACTAGAGACGGCTTCTTCCAAGGGAAGTGTCCAGCCTGGGTTCATGATGGGAGCGAGGTGGCAGAGCTGGGCCTGAGCCTGAAGTCAGCTTTGCTGCCATGCCTGCGTATCCTACCCTGCAGCCTAGGCAGGCTGCTGGTGACACTGGGGTCACACTGCCAGCTTGGTTCCTCGTGCCCCTGCTCCTGTCTTACTCCACGCCCCCTCCCCATCCAACTCCTCCAGAATGAACTTCTCTCTTTCTGTCTGCAGCCGCCGGGATCCCTGAGGATGAAGACCCTTGCCTGTGCTTGATGCTACCTGTGGCTCAAATATAAAGGAAGCCAGTAAATCCTATTTTTCCCTCTGTAACTACAATAAAATTCCCCGCATATGGGTCTGCATGTCAATTTTCTCTTATCTTCAGCCTAATTTTTTAAATATGTATTTTACCACCAGGTAGTGGTAAAGGTATCTTAAAGAGCGGCCGGCACTCACAAAACACTCAGCGTCTCCCACGCGGCTGCACCTCGCGCATCTTCTCCCACGTTCCCTTTCCCAGGCAAAGGAAAGGTTAAGGGAATTGCCCATGGTCACATACCAGCCAGTGAGAGTGGAGATTCCAACCAGGACTTCAGACGGTCCATGCTAATTCAACCCACAGCCCAAAGTGGGCATTTCTACCCCGGGTAGAATGAATCGGAATCTACAGGCTACGAAGCACCCCTGTGCACTTACTTAAGAAGCACCCGGGAGACTTGTTAGGCTGTAGGTTTGGGCTCAATCTATCTGGAGTGGAAAGGCAAATTCTCAGCGGGAGAGCAAATCAAAATGAATTGGTTTGAAGTCTGAGTTCAGTCCAACCTGGACTCAGGCTCCTCACCTCACTCACTGACTTTGGGGCACTCACCATTGGTTCATCCGGCCAAGTTATGAGGCACCTACTCTTCGGGGCACTGCTCTAAGCATGGGGGATGCAGCCGTGAGCAGACAGACAAGGGCCCTGACAAACAGACAAGCTTACACATAATGTTGGGGAAGACTCACAAAACTAAGAAACATCGACTCTTATCAGACAGGTGGTAAATGCAAAGGGAAAAAAACATCAGTGGCGGGAAGTGCTGGGAGGTATAATTTTCCAAATGGTGTCTATATGTGCTAATTGCTCAGGAAGGTTTTGTGACCTGTCAGTAAACAATTGCAGGATGGGAGGAACTGGCCTAGTGAGTAGCTTGGTGAGGAAAGCGCCCCCCAGAGGCCGGGCAGCAGGCGCGTGAGTGCAGAAACAGAGAGCAGAGGGTGTGGCTGTGAGCGTGACTGAGGGCGGGGGTGGGAGGGAGGGCTGCCCAGAGAGGCTCTCATCCTTCCTGGGAAGGGAACCAGCACAGAGCTGAAGAAGGATGGCCTCTTCTGGAGGGAGAAGATGTACTTGGCAGCCGTTGCTACTTAAAGGGACTCTCAAGTCAGGGGACCCAGTTGAACCACCAAGGGGAAGAGCGTAGAAAGAATAGAGTTCCAGGGATGGATCCCAGAATGCCCTTGGCATTAAGGTTTTGGAGGGGAAAATGAGGAGCAAGCATCGGAGATGGAAAAGGCACAGCCGGTGGACAATAGGAGAAACCAGAGACAGGGGAATCCCCAGAGGCCAACTGAAGAAAGGGTTTCCATTGGGAAGTGACCTACAGTGTCAAAGGCTGCCAAGCGACCATGGGCACCGATGGACGATCTTGGGAAGAACAAACCGGATGAGGAGGAAGATGCGAAAACACAACATCTGGGCTGCTCACTAGGTCGGCCACTCGCCACACAGGCTGGATTTCAGTGTTCCTCCGGGAGAGAACGCGTCACCGTATCGAGAGCCCAAAGGTAGACAAGACACTCATCAACAGACGAATGGATAAATAGTGTGGTATCTATTCACAGCAACAACATAAAGAAATCCATTTGTTCCCATAGACTTTTTAATCTTTTTGGGGACTTTTTTTTTCCTTTTTTTTTTTTAGTTATTTTATTAGGGGCTCATACAACTCTTATCACAGTCCATACATACATCAATTGTGTAAAGCACATTTGTACATTCATTACCTTCATCATTCTCAAAGCATTTGCTCTCCACCTAAGCCCCTG